CTTGGCCCCGCCCCCCCTAAGACCTGCCCTTTTTGGCCAGGCCCCACCTCCAGTAGTGAAATTTCTGGGGAGACATCTAGTTTTTTTGTTGTTTTTTTTTTTTTTTTTTTTTTGTATTTTGTACTGGGGATCAAACTGGGGTCCTTGTGCTTGAGAGGCAGGCGACGGGACGGAACCATTGAGCTAAATCCCTGGCCCCGAGGCTGGCCCTGAACTCAATATGTAACCCAGGGTGGCCTCGAACTCCTGGTGGTCCTCCTGCTTCAGCCTCCTTGAGTGCTGGGGTCACTGGTGTGCTCTGCCCGTTCCCTGAGTGGTGCTGTGGGGGAACTTTGGTTTATGCTGGTGTAAGCTTCTGTCCCTTAATCACCGAGGGATTCTCAGGGCCTGTCTATGTTGAGTGCTATGCAAGAAAGTTCTAGAAGTGGCCCAGGGCAGGTGTTAGTAATGTTGTATCAGTGATACTCTTCTGGGTGTCTGATTCATTCTGAGTTGTTTTGTGGTGCCAGGGATGGAATCCAGGGCCCTGAGTGTGCTAGGCAATCTGTCTACATTGATCTGTATGCATAGCCCTTTCTTTAAAATTTTATTTTGAGATAAGAGTCTCTGTAAGTTGCCTGGATTGGGTTCGAACTTGATTTTTTGTTGTTTTGTTTTTTGTTTTTTTGGTCCCGGGGATGGAACTCGGGACCTTATGCTTGTGAGGCAGGCTGCGGAACCACTGAGCTACATCCCTGGCCCTGGGCTCAAACTTGAGATCCTCCTGCCTCAGCCTCCTAAAATGCTGGGACTACAGGTGTGCACCAGTGTGCTCATCCTGGGTCAGTTCTTGCTCCCTCCCTGTCCTTCCTGGTGTGGGGATGTCAGCGTCCACCGCTGGCTAACAGGTGGCCAGCTTACCTAGGCCGATTTCCCCGTCACCTCTTATCACCAGAGGGACCCACCTGAGTGCTTTGTAGGAGTCTGGGGGTGGCTGTGCCACAGTCTTTGCCTGCTTTACAAACTGATCGGTTTTGTACTGAGAAAAACCTCCGATTTCAGAGGGAGGCAAAGGTGGGGCAGGGGCCTCCACCCTGCAGTCTTACGTCCAGAAATAACTGGGAACTTTCAGAGGGGTGAGCTAGGGTGAGGACTCCTGGAGTGACAGCCCCTGCACCTCATTCTGTTGGCCAGAGCAGGATTCTAGGCCCTCTCGGTCTCAGGGAGGGAAAGAGGCCCCACCCACCCCACCCCAGGTGGAGGGAGGTAGCAAGGGGTGTGGGTGGGCAAGAGGGTGGCAGGGGCTTCTCTCATAGCCCTGGTGCTGGCTGGGTGGGACAGCAGGGCAGTATTGTCACACTTGGCTCTCCTCCATCTGCTCTGGCTCCCGCTGGCTTACTCCCTGCAGCCATGCAGTCTCTTAGCCGCTACTGCTCCTTTTCTGGGCACCAACCTGCCCCAGGGCCTTTGCACTGGCTTTGAGCCCTGCTGGTTCCTTCTCATGGTCTCATTCCGTCCACACAGTAGTGGCTGAGCCTGAACTTGGGCCCTTCTATCCTGTTTTCACTGTGTGAGTGAGCTCACGTCTCTGAGCCTCAGTCTCCGCCTCTGTAACACAGTAGTAAGAGTGGCTTTCTCCGCTTGGTGTGGTGGCGCACGCCTGTGATCCCAGCACTCAGGAGGCTGAGGCAGGAGGATCGCTGTGAGTTCGAGACCAGCGTGGGCTATACAGTGAGTTCCAGGTCAGTCTCAACTATGTAGTGAGACCCTGTCTCAAAAAAACAAAACAAAACAAAAAGGAGTAGCTTTCTCATGGAGCAGCAAGCAGCCCTGGTCCCTATTGCCCTGACCCATGGTGTCAGCTCTGCCATTGTTCCCTGGGTGTGACAGATGCTGTTTGTTTGTGCCCTTAGGCCTATGACCTTGTCCGCCAGTGTAGCTCCAAGCCAGGCCTTCCCTGATGGGACCCTGCCTCACTGTGACCCTGATCCACTGTGCAGGGGTCCTGTCCCTGAGGACTAGAGGCGTCAACTAGGAGGTGTAGGCTAAGTGGGGAATGAGAGGAGATGACCTTCGACCCAACCCGAATAGCTGGGAGGTTGCTCAGAACTGTGCAAAGGCCCTGGGGCAGGATTGGGTGGGGGCCGTTGAGGGGCAGCAGGAGTGGGGCATGGAGGCACCATCCATCTGGTCATCTGACAACGTTTGTGTTCTTTAGGCCACTGGTGCTGGGCACACAGCAGTGAGAGGTATGGCCCACTGCTTCCCCTAGGAGAGCCGACATCAGGCGCCATCAGGGGTCCCACACTGCGTTCCCCACAAGACCCTAGTGCACTGTTGGCTCCTGCTGCACAGGAAGGACCCCAGAAGTGAGTGGACAAAAGCACAGGAGGCAGGATCTTGCAGTTCCAGGCCCAGATCCAGCCTGGCTTCCTCAGGCCGTCTGCACACCCTCTGGCCCTCGGCCTCTCCGAAGTGTCTGTGCTGCCAGAGCAGGGTCTTCCAGGACCAGGCCTCGGGCCACACACTGCCTGCTGCTGCGTCCTGTTGGATGGCCCGGCTGGCTGCGTGGTGTCCGCTGGTTTAGCCTCAGTGCCTCCTTTTCTCCCCTGCAGACGTCACTGTGGGAGCCCTTGTCCTCAGGACAGAGGGATGGCGTTAGAGCCTGGCGCTCAGGCCTCTCCACATACGGGATCCAACAGCATCTGCAGAACCCTGTCCTGGGCGTCCATAGCCCCCTGGATTCCAGCCTCAGGGGCCTCAGCTGGCCGTGTTTGGAATTAGAGCTGGATAGTTGCGGGGAGGCTAAGGATCCCCTGCCTGTTGTTAACAGCACAGTGTCCTCCAGCCTTGTCTGCATGGGTGACGAGAGCTGGTAGTGTCCACTGAGCAACCCTGGCCCTGGCAGCTCTTGAACTCAGAGCCAGGCAGCGGAGCAGTGACACCCGCAGGAGCTAGGGTGCGTGCCCTGTGGTTGCTCTCCATCCCACAGCACCTGAGTGCTTTTTCCCCTGCGGGTCTAGGTCGTGCTGGGGCTGCTCCTGGCCCCTGACTGTGGCGTCCAGTGTGGCTGTTTCTCCAGGAGAGGTCTGTGGCTTCCGCTGCTCTCCACCTTGTGGCTTGCTCTTCCCCGGGGCTTAGGTCCCCCATGCTCAGGCAGAGTGCTTGGGGAGGGGCAGTGCTTGGTGTCCGGAGCAGGCCCTGCCTGGGACCGGATGGCTGGACAGAGAGGCCTCTGATCATCACCAGGAGCATGGAGGAGAAGAGGAGACCCAGGCCACTGGGTGCCTGGGTCCAGCCACACCTGAAGCCCATCATCATCCTGCCCTCCTTGCTTGTGCTGGAGTCAAAAGGTGTCTCTGTGACAGCCAGGTGGTCTCTGTCACCCCTGCTTGGCCAGCCACCGCAGGGGCAGGTGCTGTAGATGAAAAAGAAAGGGAGGGACGGCTGTGTGTTTAGGAAGCCCACCTTTTCCTTTTTTTTTTTCTTCATGGTCTTTTGAGGCAGAGGCTCACTGTGTAGCCCAGGCTGGCCTGAACTCACAGGATCAGGAACTCCAGGATCCTCCGCCTCTCGGCCTTAGAGGTGCTGGAATGACGGGGTGCACCACCACACCCAGCCCATAGGCTAGGACCTGAAGTAAACAAGGTCCTCCCCTTGCACTCCCCCACCCCAGTACTGAGAATGGACCCTCAGGTCTTCACGCTGAGCTCCATCCCCAGCCATTTTTATTTTTTTTATTTTGAGACAGTCTCACTAAGAGTGAAAGAAAAAGAAAGAACCGATCCGGCGCTGGCTTCCCCGTGCAGCCTGGTTGGCGCTGCCAGCCTCCTCGTGTGGCCTGCTGTGCCCTGGGAGTCAAGGCCAGTGAATTCACCTGGACCACCAAGCCTCAGTTTCCCCAGCTGGGGCCCCAATGATGCTTTCCTCCTGTAGTGAGTTGGAGGTGTGATTTGGGGAGACAGTGCCAAGCCAGGGGGGAGGTGCAGGTTTTTATTCTAGGAAACTGCAGATAAAAGTAGGCAGGCAGGTGAGTGCAGTTCCGTGTTTAGCCAAGTGCGGTGCTGCTTCTGAATTGCTAAGTTTCCCAGGCTGGGCTTGAGCTTGGCGTCCTCCTGTCTCAGCCTCCCCAGTGATGCAGTGACAATGCATGCCGGTGTGCTGGGCTTAGTCTTATTAAACATCGTGTGTGCACAACGCCAGTCATTTCCAGCTCCAAGAGGTGCTTGCTTAGTCTGGAATGGATGAGCGAGTGAGTGGGGTCAGCCCTGCTGACTGGGGAGCTGTGTATGGGGAGGACTTTTCATTCTCACAGGGCCTTGGGGGCCGCCGGGCAGTGGGAGCCACAGAGGACTGTGGGCACAGGATACTGGCAGTGTGTTCTGGGCTCCTGCTGCTCCCTGGCTCTGTACCAGGCCTCAGGTGTCTCCTCCCCGGGGTCGGGCCTCTCCGGGTGTCCTCAGCGCAGCAGGCGCTCTGTGCCTGAGCTGAGTGCCGACGCCCTCCCCAGGAGCCAGCGCCTAGCCAGGGATCTGCCAGGGATCTGCCAGCCCGACCTTGCTCCTTCTGCTCCCCCTCCTTCCGTGCCCTCAGGCCCAGCTGGTCTGGGGTGGGGGAGTAGCCAGCGAGATGCCTGCTCTGCTCTGACGGGAAAGAGCCTTGTCCCCAGGCGCGGTGATGCGTCCTGTCAACCCAGGAGCAGGATCGCAAGGCAAGCACAATATAGCGAGGCCCTGTCACAAAAATTTGAAAAGAAAATCTTGAACCGTACTGAAAAGTCTTAAAGAATGGGACTGTGGACACTCGCAGCTCACCCGGGTCCATAGCGCTCTTTCAGGTCCCGGGGCCTCCCCGCCCCTCCTCCTTCCCCTCCCTCTGCGTCAGCTCCTCCCTTTCTGTGCCCATCATTAACTGAGCTGCAACCCACCCTGCTATTTTTAACACAGTTGTGGAAACATTAACTACCCCACCCCTTTGAACCTTGACTCCCACCTTGCCGTCTTAGTCCTGCAGGCAGAAGTCTGATAAGAACTAGGTGAGAGGCTTTTATTTGTACCTGTGTGCAGCTGCACCCTCAGGCTGCTGCTGGGGAGCTGGTGCGCCCCTGAGTGGGGTCCGCCATCGACCCTGCTGATCGGACAGGGGTGAGAGTCAGCCGCGCGTTGGGTAAGTCCGTAGGACCTGGCTACCTCCAGGCGCCTGGCTCTGCTCTGCTCCCCTGACAGGTGATGTCTTCGTGACTTCCTTGTTGCTGGGATGGCACTCAACCCCTGCCACCCAGGAGTTAAAGGAGCAGAGATGTGTGGAGTTGGCAGCCCTGGTCAGCTGGTTGCCAGGCGCCATCACGCAGACAGGGAGAGGGAGGAACGGTGCCCTCAGGGCCCCCTTCTCTGGCCTGGCCTCACCACCCAGCTGGTGTCACACGCCCTGATGCAGTCACCCACTCCAAGCCCACCGAGCACGTGAGGCCTAGGTGGGGACACCTAGGTATCAGCCACCGCAGGAGGTCGCTTTGTTCTCCTGGGTTTTCTGTCACCTGTGTCTGTCTCCCTTTTTCTCCCACCACTTTCTCCTCTGCTGTACTGGGGTCTTCACGGTATTTTGAGTCAGGATCTTGCCTAAATCACCCAGGCTGGCCCGGAATTCACAGGCCCTGCTTCAGCCTCCCAGGGTACTTGGGATGTCAGGCGTGTATCATGCCCGATTCATTTCTCTTTTTTCTTGTCTTATTTTACTAGCCGGCACTTTCACTGTTCTGTGTCACACCATGGGCTCATCTTCTGATTGAGTTACTGTTTCTCGTGACTCTGGCTTCACACTTTCCAAGTAAAGGTGCTCACCCATCAAAAACGGTTTTCTTTAGCTTCTTGATAGCCTTTTGGCAGTGCTGGGGTTGGAACCCTTGGCCTCTCCCATGCTAGGGAAGCACTCAACCCCAAGCTGCACCCACAGCTCTTTTATACATTTTGAGACAGGGTCTCCCGAAGTTACTCGAGTAGCTGGGACGACAGGCGTGTGCCAACGCACCCAGCTTCTTGATAGATTTTTTTTGGACATAAAATTCATGTTGAACTCTGTTAAAGGGTTTTCTGGGCCAGGGTGTCTTGCTCCAGTGACTTTGCCTGACTCAGGTGTCTCCAAACTCCTGCCACAGGGCCACGGTGAAGCGAGATCATAAACCTAGCCCGACTGGCCAGGGTGCCCCAGGCCAGCGAGGTTGGGGCGAGAGCAGAGGAGGTGGTCACTTGGGCAGGGCTCTCCTTTCCAGATCTGCTTGTTTTTTTTCAAGAAACCCAGGTTTCTCTCCAAAACCTCTGAAGTCTTAAAGTTGACTCAGTTTAAACAAATATTCCACGGCCAGAGGGGAACCCAGAGGCTCTGGGGACTGGAGTGCTGGGAGGCAGTGGGACTGTCATCTAAGGGTGGCCCTGCCCCGACTGGTGGGGGAATTAAAGGGCCAGACAGGGCGTGGATCCCGGGCCTCAGTCCCCTGCTGGCTCTGAGCCTCGGTTTTCCTACTGCCCAGCAGAGCCTCCATGGGAGTAGCTGCCTGGCTGGGCGAGGTCCACGAACCCGAGGACCTGGGGCCTGGTAGAGTTGCTGTCACCATGTCTGGGGGGGGCTCTTTGTGACCCCATATGCTGGCACTGCCCCCGTGGTCACTAGGTGCTGTCTGGGGAAATTGGTGGTTGTCACGTGGTCCTGGTGTAGATGGCTGAGGCCAGGGATGCTGCTCCCCAGAGAATGGCCCAGCTGCAGTGTCCACAGGACAGAGGACCCTGGCTTAGGGGATGGGCTCTCGGCACACCGGGAGCTGCCCAGATTCTTTGTATCTGTGCATCTGGTCAGGAGAAAAGAGGTCAGAGGCAAGGGCTCCTGGCATCACCATAGGCCTCTGCTTGTCCTAGGCCTCTGCTCCGTTTCCAGTAGGTGACTCGACTCATACTGTCTGACAGAAGTCCCCGCTCACAGTGGACAAGAATTAGAAGGTGAAGTTGGGCAGGACACAGTGGTACACATCCATTAGCTCAGCTACTTCAGAGGCTGAGACAGGAGGATCTCGAGTTCTAGCCCAGCCCCAGCCCCTTAGCAACTTAGAGAGACCCTGTCTCAATAAAACAGCTAGGAATGGAGCTCAGTGTGAAGGCCCTGGGTTCCATCCCCAGCACCAGAAAAAAGAAAAGAAAAAGCGGGGTGGGTGAAGTTGATCCTTCGCCACAGAAGGCACTGCCTGGGCATTGCCGCCTGCCTGAGGCCCGAGGGCTCTGACCGTGACCTGACCTCCTAGAGTGGGGAACACTGAGGCTCACGGTCTCTGGCAGCAGGAGTCTGGGGAAGGTTCTAAACTTTGCCACTGTAGGGATTCACATCTTCAAGGTACGGTGAATACCATATAAAATTTGGCTTTTTAAGGTGTACATGTCAGTGTTTAGTAAAGTCACCACATTGTGCAGCCATCACCTCTAATTCCAGAACCTTCTATCACCCACCCCTGAGCAAGCCCTGTCCGCATGAGCAGTCGTCAGTCTGTCCCTTCCCAGCCCTGGCATCCCCGGGTCCACTTCCTGTCTCTGGTGTTTCCTGTCTGTGGAGCCCAGGCTGTGTGTCCTTCTGTGTCCGTGTCTCACCGCTGAGTCAGCCCTTCAGGTGGACCTATGCTGTGCTTATTAGAACATGTGGAATCCCAGGTAGACGGGAGTTAAATGTTCTCCTCCTGTGCCTGAAAGGTCCTTGGTTACAGGTCCCAGGTGTGTCTTAGAAGCGTGCTCAGCCTGTCACTGCAATGGCTGGTGCACTCAGTTTGTGCTGCATAACGGGCCACCTCAGACCTCGGGCCTCTGAACATGGCCGTGGTTTGCCGCGCTGTGGTCCTGAGCGGTCTCCGTCTTGCCTGGCGTTGTGGTCAGTGGGGACCAGGAGTCCAAGGTGGCCTTCACATTCACGTGTTTGTCTGGTCCCTCACTGCGGTGGCCTGGTCTGCCTGCCTGCATGGTGTCTGCAAGTGCCAGCCTCTGGAGCGCATGGCTCAGGTGTCTGGAGTATCGGGCTGCCAGCCTTGACAGGGTCTCTGTGCTAATTGTCTAGGCTGGGCCCCAACACGTGATCCTCCTGCCTCAGCCTCCTTGGGGGCTGAGGTGACAGGCGTGCACCAACTGTCACACCCACTGTCCTCTACGGTTAAGCAAAAGGGGTTCTCGCAGGGGACCCCAGCGCTGTGCCAGTGCATGGAGCCCCTGCCTGGCCTGGACCTTGGCAGGAGGAGCCAGTGGACCCTCTGGGCCATCCCGCTGATGTCGGGGAGCGAACATGTCCTCACCTGGCCCCATGTTCTGGTCTCTGGACACTGCCCTGCCCTGTCCTGGGGTGCCTGGCGGCCAGGGTCCCAGGCAGCAGTCTATGCCAGCCTGAGGCCCCTGCTCGTTTCTGGCCTTTGCTGCCTTTCTCTTACTTAGCTCTGTGGCAGGGCAGATGCATAATGTGTATGCCGGTCTGGGGGAGGCGGGGAGGGGATGGGAGGACAGGGACAGGGAACTGCTTCAGGAGGCCACTCTGAGGGTGACACTGGAGCCAGGTGTTGGCTGAGCAATGGAGCAGAGCCTGCAGAGGACTCAGGAAGGTGCTGCAGGTGGAGAGCATGGCTTGAGCAAGGGCCCTGGGGTAGGGTGGAGCCTGGCACTGGAAGAGCTTCAAGGAGGAGGCTGTGTGCTGGAGCAGAAGGGTGCAAGGTAGAGAGGGAAGAGTCTGGCGGGGTCTGTGGCCTCAGGGCTGTCCTGGAGCAGGTGAGACCCAGTGTGGCGGTGCTGCTTCCCTTCCCGTCTCCTCCCCTGCCCGCAGCTTTGTCCCTGCCCGCCGCCCTCTGGCCTACCTCGCTTCCTCATTATGGTCTTCCTTGGCTGCTGCCGCTGGGCTCAGGCCTCACCCCCAGGCCAGCCTAGGCTCTGCTTTGCTCTCTGGGCTGTGGTGGTGCTGTCCCCTCCCCAGGAGCAGCTCCAAGGGCCCCAAGGTCTCTTGGGCGGGCGTGGGTGACGTGTGTCTCTCAGTCTGGCTCCTGCTGCCTTCCTGCTGTCCGTCTCTGGCAGCCTCTTTGGGGGTGTGGGTGTGGTGTTGTGCCTCAGTTTCCACATCCCACAGCGTGGAGAAACGGCTTTGGGAAGCTCTGCTGCAGAGGTCCGTTCAGCAGGCTGTAGAAGGTGCTGGTAGTCAGTCAACAAACGCACAAAGTGTCTGCCGGCAATATCTAGGACAAGGTAGCTTAACAGGGCACAGAGGCGGCTGGCAAGTGGAAGAACATCCGGGCAGGTGGCCCAGTTTTGAGGCTGGGCACAGAGGTTGTTTCCTGCTGGCATGCAGGAAGGGGTCTTAGCGCTGCGTGACAGGTCCCAGTCACCCTGGGGTCCTGACGGGCTCCCACCACCCAGCCAGACCACAGCAGGCCTGTGGCAGGACCTGCCTGAGGTCACAGAGTGGCAGAGGCTGGTGGGAGGGGACAGGGAGAGAGGGCGGCTTCTCCCCAGACCCTGGCTCCTGTGACCGCCGAGGTTACCCTGGCCGTGCACCTGTGGTGTCCCCACCCACCCACTGCTGCCGGTGACGTGGGCTGTGACAGGCGGCATGGCCTGCCTCTCCTCCTCCCCCAACTATTTTTAAACTTAATTTCCTCGAAAACGGGGCTGCTTACTCAGGAGATAATTGCTTACATGGCAGCCCAGGCCGAGCTCAACAGTGACAGGATGTGGTGTCGCCCGCACAGAGACAGCGCCCCTGCCTGTCCTGGGCCGGCTTCGCCCATCTGTCCCCTCTGTCCTGCCTGCTGCTCCTGGTCCCCAGGTCCCCTGGACAGGACAGCCCTACCCTTGGTGGCTATTACTTGGCCAGGCCTGTGAGGGGGTGGCCCAAGGCTTCCCTTTCTTCTCTCTGGTGCTAGGAGTTGAACCCAGGCCTTCACAGTGAGCTCAACCTTTTTTATTTTTTATTTTGAGATGGTCTCGCTAAGTTGCCCTGCCTGGATTTGAACGTCTCCTCCTCCTGCCTCAGCCTCCCAGAGTGCTGGGATGACAGGCGTGCACCACCACATCCTTTTTTCAGCCAGTGCAGGTGAACTGGGTAGGGAAGGAAACTGAGGCAGGGTTGTGGTGGGGCCCGTGAGGCCCTGTCCAGGGGTCTCGCTTGGTCCTGGGGTGGGACAGACTGGCTGGGGATCGGGGTTGGATCCTTCGGAGCAGGGACGGGAACTTTCCATTTCACTTTGGTGCTGGATGGGGCAGCATCGTGTGCACAGAGCGGGGGCTGTGGAGATGCTGCCCCCTCCCAACGGGCAGGGTGGACAGAGCACAGTGTAGGAAGACCATGGTCAGACTCTGTCCTGCCCCGGGCCCCGCCACCTTCCTGCCTGCTGTCCTTTCCTTCCCCGGTGCCCAAGTCACAGAGCCGTGAATTGTCCTGATGTTTGTTGGCCAAGGCAAATATTGTGTCAGCTACCAGCACCTTCCGCTGCCTGCTGGCCCCAGCCCCGGCTAGGCCCCGGCCCAGGCCATGAGAAGAGGGAGGGGACCAGGGCTGCTGTGAGAGATGGCCATAGCCTGGGGGCTCCACTCTGTCCTGGCGGCCAAAAGTGCCTGGTGGCTGGGGCCTGTCATTCCAGATACTCAGGAGGCTGAGGCAGGAGGATTACAAGTTCGAGACCAGCCTGGGCAATTTAGTGACTCTCGGTCTCACAATAAGAGCGTATGGGATCAGGGATGCAGCTTAGTGAGAAGGCCCTGTGCCCACTGTCCATTAGCGCAGAAGGAAGAAAGTAAGCAGCACATGATTACAAAAGAAGAGGCGTGGGCAGGGCCACTCCTTCCAAGCTGGAGGAGCCATCCCAGCTCTGGCCAGCACCTGGTGGCTGCTGACATCGTCTGTGTGCCTGGGCTCGTAGATCATAGGTTGGCGTCTCCTCCTCCGTCACATGACTCCCACATGCGTCTGCCTTGCTGTTGCACAGGGACGTCGGCCGGCTGCGTCGGGTGCCCCCAGTCACATCTGTAGAGACCCCATTTCTGAACGAGGCCCCATTCCAGGCTGCAGAAACGTGAATGTGAGGGAGGCTCAGGAGTACGTTCAGCTGTCAGTGCAGCTGTCATCCCTGTGTCAGACCCAAGCCCGTCCACCTGAACACATGCAGCGGCCATACAGGATTGCTTGATTTTTTCCCCCATGCATACCCCTTTCTTACTTTTGAGGCAGAGTCTAAGTTACCCAGGCTGGGGTTAAATTTGCCATCCTCCTGCCTCAGCCTCTCCGAGTGCTGGGATTATGGATCTGTAGTACCTGTGTCTGGCTACATTTTGTACCTTTAACCTGGGGGGGTCTCCTTGTCATGCGGGGGGCCCTTGGCTGGCACCCTAAGGGTTCTTGCTTGTGGGAACTGCCTCCTCCCCCGCTGCTGTCTGCCCAGCCTGCCCCACTTTGGCCTCATCCCCTCTTCCTCCTCACTTGCCACTGCCTGGCTGAGCCTCACCCACTGGGCCCCAAGTTTGTTCTGGAGCCTGACCCCCCCAGGGACCTGTGGTGTCTGGGTCAGAGCTGGGGGGTAGCCAGGGGGTTGCAGCCCCCCTGTGTGACACAAGGTGGTCGGGGACACATCCTGCCTGTGTGCGGCCCCAGCCCAGGACCCTGCCTGTGACCTTGGTCAGATCCCCTGCTCTCCCTGGCCCTCAGGCTCCTTATTTGTGAAGGGAGAACAGAATGAGAAGAAACTGCCTTCAAGGGAGGGCCTGCACCTGGGTTATTCAAAGGAATTGGGAGCCAGGCGTGGTGGTGCACACCTATAATCCCAGCACTCGGAAGGCTGAAGCAGGAGGATGGCTGCAAGTTCGAGTCCAGCCTGGGCTACATAGTGAGTTCCAGGTCAGTCTCAACTACATAGTGAGACCCTGTCTCAAAAAACAAAAAACAAAACAGAAGAATTGGGAAGCTGGGCATGGTGGTGCACACCTATTATCCCAGTGCTCTGGGAGGCTGAGGCAGGAGGATCCAGACTTCTAGCCCAGCCTGGGCACCTTAGCGAGACCCTGTCTCCCGATGCGAGCTGACAGGGGCTGGGGGTGTCTCCAGGCCAAGGCCGTCGTCTAGACCATAACAGCAAGGTCTCTGAGGACAGCAGCAGCACTGTGCTGAGACCTGGCCTTGTGCTGCTGTCGGCCACAGCGTGTCTTCACCCAGCCTGCTGCTCCCTCCCTGGCCCTTCATTGCACAGTCACGTGGGCATCCCCCCCTTGGAGGCCCCTCTGCAGGCCGCACCTTCACCTGTCACCTGTCACGTTGCCCTCCCAGCCTGCGGCCCACCTCCCTTGGCTGAGCCCTTTGGGCTGGGGCCTGGCCTGCCCTGGTCATCAGGTTACCCGGGTGGCAGTGACAGGTCACACAGACGTGGCCTAAGAGAGTGACGCTTCGTACTTTCTAGGGTCCAGAGGCCAACACGGCCTCCTCCCAGGGCTGCTCCTCCTGAGGCTCTGGGGAGAACCCAGTCCCCATCCCAGCCCCTGCAGGCACCCGCAGACCTCGGCTTGCAGCCCCGTCCTCCATCTGCAGAACCAACAGCACCATCTTCAGCCTTTCTCTGCCCCTCACCCTCCCACACCCTCTGTGGGGGACCTGGGGGACACTGGGCCCAGGTGGTCAGGAAGACCCCTCCGGCGTCTTTGATCACAGCCTCAGTCCGATGCAGGGATGAGGGTGTGGGCGTCTTTTTTTCCCAGCCCAACCTCCTCACGGGAGCAGGTGCCTGGCTGGTTGGCCTTGTAGTCCTGATGCCCAGGCAGGCAGGGGACATGGGTACAGAGCAGGACAAGGCCTGGAGCCTCTTCTCTGCCTCCTGTGCCCACTCCCTTTGCTCCTACAAAGTCCTGGATAGGGAGAAAGGGCCGGGCCTGGCTAGTTCCCACTGACCATGGCCCCTTGAGTCCCAGGCTCCCCTTGACTTGGCCAGCCTGGCCCTGGATCTAGGAGGGCACTGTGGGTGGGGCTGGGCAGGGCTGCGCTCAGCACCTTCCCTCCCACCAGTTCCGATTTCCCAGTGATTGTGAGGGGACGGGGATGGGGCTTGGACAGCACAGCCTCCTAGTGCCCTGGCCCCCTCTGCTGGCTGACGTCCCCAATCTGCAGTGTTCCCACCTGCTCAGGATCCCCACAACCCCAGTATAGAAGGACCACCGTAGGTGCTCATTGTCCCTGGTGACCATCCGGGGCCCAGTGGCCACACCCCTATGTCAGGCTCTGCCCAGTCCCCTGCCCTGGGCTTGAGTCTGTGCATGTGACCTCGAGATGGGGCTCTCCTGGCTGCAGTTACCTGGTTCTTCTGTCCCTTTACAGGGGTCCCAGGCACCCAGAGAGGGTGGGGGAGGGGCAGGCGGGGCCCCTGGTGACCTGGACTGTGCAGTGGCCCCCAGGGTCGTCCATGGGCTGAAAGCGCTCCTCCTGTCTCCCCCCACCAGGCCTGGCTCAGAAGAAGGCGACCTTGGCAGAGGTGAGTCCTGGGAACGGGTACAGGGCAGGGGTCCCCACTGATCTGCCTCGGCCAGAAGACAGGGAGGAGGCAGCCCTGGAGGACTGGGATGGTGGAGACTTGAGTGTCAGCAGGCGGGGTGGATGTGGGGGTCTTTAAGATGTGTGGGCAAAATTGGGCAGTGGGGAGAGGGCCCAGGACAGAGGTGAGGGGGTGGGGGGACGCCAGGCCAGACAGGGCACATCCCTGTGTCTGGGTCCTTGCTCCTGGGCACAGGCAGGGGGCATCCTGGCTCCAGCACGAGCTGGTGTGGCTGTGGCCACCCAGGCCCACCCTTCTCCCATGGATGCCTCCTGCCCACGTGTCCTTCTGAGCACCGTGTGTCCACACCGGGGGCCCTGGCTGCTGGCAAGGTGGGAGCCTGCAGGGAGGGGTGTGGCGAGCTGGCATCTGATCCTGGGGAGAGCCTGCCCCCTGGTGGCCTTGGGCAAAGACACACTGGAGCCTGCTGAGAAGCTGCCTCGGTGGAGGGACAGGGACAGGGACGCAGGTTTCCTGGAGCTGAGGCCAACCAGGCGTGGGTGACGTTGCAGGATGGATCTGGAGGAGGGCTGGGGCCCGTGGTTGTCACGCGGCAGGCAGGGCCACAGAGTGACTGAGCCTGTCCCCGAAGTCCTGGCCCCTGGCCCGGGCTGGTCTCGGCTGGCGGCTGTGTCCCCGCCACGACCTTCAGGGCACCTGTCCATGACAGCGGCTGGGCCGCAGCCAGGTGCTCAGCCACAGAATGCCCTCGGGTCTGCGCCCCTACGTGTGCGGTCATCTATGCCTGTTGCCCGGGGGCTCCTGGGTGCCTGGCCCTTGTGTCCCTGGTGCCTGAGGAACCGTTTCCCACCCATATAGCTGGGCCATGGCTACCACATGCTCCCGCTTTCCCGTGGGCACCTCGTGGACAACCAGGGGGGCTCCGCGGGGTCCTGACCCCCTCCCCCCACCGCCAGGAGTCTCTCGGCGACTCCGCCCCTTCTCCCAGCGTTTCTGGAGCCTCCAGGGCCCCTTGCAGATTTGCTCTTCCTGCTTTCTTGCCCCCAGGCCCCGTCGATGACTGGACAGCCCGGCGCCGGCCATGGGAAGAAGCTGGGGCACCGAGGCGTGGATGCGTCTGGCGAGACCACCTACAAGAAGGTCCCCTGGGGGTGGCGCAGGGACCCACAGGCACCCCCACCGTGCACACAGTCCAGGCAGAGGCAGTGCTCTCCGGGACCTCACACCTGGCCGGCAGCTGCTGTCCCCATCCCGGGACTGTATGCTCTTCGAAAACTAACAGTTTAGCTGGGCTATGGCACCTGCCGGTCATCCCAGCACTCTGGGAGGCTGAGGCAGGAGAATCACACATTCAAGCCCCAGCCTGGGCAACTGAGCAACTTAGGGAGACATTGCTTCAAAATAAGAAGACAAAAAGGCTCAGGATGCAACCTGGCACGAAAGCCCAGCGCTGCAGGAAAAATCCTAGCTTTGCTGAAGTAGAGCAGAACAGTGTGTAGCCCCTTCCACGCCTCCCCCTGTGTGGCTAGGGCAGGGTGGGGCCCAAGGCGGCTGTGCCCTGGGCCACAGAGGCCCAGCGGGCCTGGTGGGAGAGGTGCAGCTGGACACCAACTGCGCCCCCACCCACAACCCCCGCGCTTGCACAGGGCAGGTCCTGGCTGGGGCCTGACATCCCACGTGTTCCCGCGTCCCTGCAGACCACATCATCCACCCTGAAGGGCGCCATCCAGCTGGGCATCGGCTACACCGTGGGCAACCTGAGCTCCAAGCCCGAGCGCGACGTCCTCATGCAGGACTTCTACGTGGTGGAAAGCATCTTCTTCCCCAGGTGGGCTGGGCCCGCGCCGTGGGGCGGAGGAGCTCCCAGTGTGGATTCCTCTCTGTGCTCCGAGAACAGCACTTCAACAGGGGAACCTGGTAGCAGAGCAGTTCTTTGAGCCCAGGATTTAGTTCAGCAGCACCACGCCTGCCTTGCAAACTCAAGGCCCTGAGTTCAATCCCTGGTACAAAAAAAAAAAAAGAGTAGTTTTTTTAAAACGCAAGAGAGAAAAGGCGGCGGTTCATTTTTGTTTCACATGAAAACGTCCCCAGGTGATCCCAGGGCGATGAGGCGGCCCCACTGCATTAGTGTCGCGCACTGTTTCTGGTTCTTCCATTCTGCCATCTAGTCTGTGGCTTCTGTAGCCGGCTGTTTTCCTGCTGTCGTGTCTGAGTTCAGCAGCAGGAGAGAAGAGAAAGGTCCAGCCAGGAAGTAGTACACACTCTTTGTGCTCTGCCAGCGTCTCTTTGGTGGGGTGCTGTCTTGACCACACCTAGCTGGAGGAGAGTCTGGGAGTCCTGTGTCCCAGCGGGAGCCCTGTTTCATTTGTGGGGCTGGGGCAGCTGGGGAGGGGCGCCCAGAAAACCACCATCCCTCATGGACATCCCCGTATCTTCTTCCGCAGCGAAGGAAGCAACCTCACCCCCGCCCACCACTTCCAGGATTTTCGGTTCAAGACCTATGCGCCAGTTGCCTTCCGCTACTTCCGGGAGCTCTTTGGGATCCGACCGGACGATTACCTGGTGAGTGTGGGTCAGCTGCAGCCATGAGTTCAGTGCAGTCTGGCTCCAGGCAGAAGACAGGCACTGTGCTCTCACAGGTGCCGAGGGGCGGGCCACCCAGGAAGGGGCTCACACATCGAGAGCTATTTGTCCCCCTGTCAAGGGGGTCTGTGGGCAAGAAGACCTTGTGGCGTTTTGTAACCTATTGGCTGTCTCGGCCACTCCATCTCTTGCCACATTCATTGGTTACAATAGTTTCAGGGACATGGTAGAGCACACCTGTTATCCCAGCACTCAGGAGGCTGAGGCAGGAGGATCGCAACTTCAAGCTTAGCCCAGGCAATCTTAGCTACTTAGCAAGACTCCCTGTCAAAATTCAACATAAGGAAAGGGGCTGGAGATGTGGCTTAGTGCAAAGGCCCTGGGTTCAGTCCCCAGTACTGAAAAAAAAAAAGCCAGGTGAAGCCAGGTATGGTGGTGCATGCCTGTAATCCCAGCATTTGGGAGTCTAAAGCAAGAGGATCTGTGCGAGTTTGAGTCCAGCCTGGGATTCATAACAAGACTCCCATGTCAGAACACACCCGCAGAAGAGGAAGGCATGAACAGTGAGTACAACGAACCAAAAAAAAAAGGAAGGCTTATCTGAGCTCGTGGTTCCAGTCCATGGTGCACTGGGCTGTTGCAGTCTTACACATCACTGTGGGAGCGAGCAATGGAGCAGAATCTCTCACCTTTTGGGGATGTAGCTCAGTGCTTCCACCGCTTGCCTTGCAAGCACAGGGACCTGAGTTCGATCCCTGGTACACACACAACACCTTTCACCAGCCTGGGAGCACAGGAGGAATAGATGATCCCAGTTGTCCCTGTGAGGCCATGCCCCAACCCTCACTTCCTCCCCCTAAGCTCTGCCTCTTAGTGCCTCGGGACTCAGGTCTGCACTCATTGCCCACGGGCCCAGGGCACCTCGTCCTCACCACAGAGGGAGAGCCTGGGTCCCATGGTGCCTCTGCCCCATGGGCTCCGCAGGCCTGTATTTCATTTTTGTCTGTCTCTGAGTCACCTGTGTCCTGCTCCACAGCCACAAGTGACAGCTGACCCTGGGGTGCCCCTTGCCAGGCTGGGCCGCATCTGACTGCAGTGCTGGCTCTGGTCCCCGTACCGTCTTCTGTGCCAGCTGTGGCTTCTCCTCCCTTACCCCAACCTGGGCAGTGCAGGGAGCAGGGCTGTGTGACACCTGGGTTTGGGGTACAGAGCCCCCAGGCAAGGCCCCCCAGGGCCAGGCTGTCAGTGAGACTCCCTGGCATCGCTGCTGGCAGTGATGTCCGTGGTGGTGGGGAGTGGACGGGGAGACCTGGGGTTCTGTCTGGACCTCAGTGAAGGACCCAGGTTACAGTGTCCTGTCTGGGCCACGTCCTTTCCTCCCTCCGCTTCTCAGACGTGGGCCTCTCTGTGTCCTGTGGATACTTGTGGCTCGTGGCCGTGGGCGGAGAAAGGACAGACAGATGGCGGGGCCTGGTGACAGCTGAGGCTTGGCCACATCTCCGGCCCTCAGCATCTTCCCCCGGCGGGTGGGGGAGGTGGGCAGTGGGTACAGGGGGTGAGAAGAGAAGACCAGGATGAGGGCCAGGGGGCCGTGCATCCGAGATCCAGCTTGTGGCCCAATTGGCCACTGGGATTCCAGCTCTTGCATCAGCATTCCAGGTGGGACGTTAGGAGGCACAGAGGCAGGTGTACCCGTTGGTACCCATGTAGGAGCCCCCCTGGAGCCCCATCTCCTCAGCTTCTGCTCGTGAGATTGGGCAGAACTGATGCTGCAGGGGGGTCACACCTCAGCCTGGCACTCAGCACCTAGCGTGACCGGGCCTCTGACCAAATGGAGAGGGGCCTCGCTCCAGCAGATCGGCCCGGGTGACGCGAGGCAAGTTGCTGCCCCTCTCTGCGCCTGTGCGGTTCCTTTTGCAAGCAAGGCTGAGCTCTGGTGGGCGAGGCCAGGGCAGCCTGACAGAGCTGAGCCCCTGACGCCACCCCTGCCTTCCAGTACTCGCTGTGCAACGAGCCGCTCATCGAACTCTCAAACCCGGGCGCCAGCGGCTCCCTCTTCTACGTCACCAGTGATGACGAGTTCATCATCAAGACCGTGATGCACAAGGAGGCCGAGTTCCTGCAGAAGCTGCTGCCCGGCTACTACATGGTGCGCGGCCCATCCCCGCCCGCGTGGCCCCTGGCAGGCTGGGCCCTTGGTGACCGCCCCCAGACAGGGTGGACGCGGCCCTGCCTGGCCCCTGTGACCTTGGTGTCTCAAGTCCCAGAGTCACATCCCCCCAACAGCCCGACACGTGTGACTGCGTGGTGGGAGGGGTCGGCCACCAACTGGCGCCACTTGTGAAAGACCAGCTCAGGAAGGAGCGGCTCCATCCTCCTCCCAGTGCCCTGTGATGCATGGTGGAGGGCGTGTCAGCCCCTGGAGGACACGGAGGCAGGGCTTCAGGTGCACAGACCCGCGGCCGGGCACCTCACCAGGGGCATCTCCCATTCCACCTGGCCCAGGTGTCGCCCCCGTTCGGCTCCGTTGGGCCACCTGGTATGGACCGTGACTCAGTTTCCCCTTTGGGAAGTTGAAGGCAGAACCCTAGGCCCCCCTAGAAGGAAGGGTCAGCAGATCTGGGCCTAGTGGCACAAGGCTGTCATCCAGCACTCTAGGAGGCCGAGACAGGAGGATGACAAATTCAAGCCCAGCCTGGGCAACTTTGCAAGACCCTAACTCAGAATAAAAAGCACCAAGGATACAGCTTAGCGAGCAGGCCCTGGGTATAATCCCTGGTGCCGAAAAAAGGTTTTGAAAAATAATAAAGGTCCGTGTGGTCCGTATTTTTGTCTTTGGGAGCTGGCCCCATGGATCAGAACCAATGTCCTGGGTCCACTGGGCGCCATGCTGGGGATGAGTGGGGCGGCGGCAGCACCGGGGACAGCGCGGGCCCCTGTGAGACTCCCTGCTGACGGCCCGGCCACCCTGTCACCCGGCAGAACCTGAACCAGAACCCCCGCACGCTGCTGCCCAAGTTCTATGGGCTGTACTGCGTGCAGTCGGGCGGCAAGAACATCCGCGTGGTGGTCATGAACAACGTGCTCCCGCGGGTCGTCAAGATGCACCTCAAGTTTGACCTCAAGGGCTCCACATACAAGCGTCGTGCCAGCCGCAAGGAGAAGGAAAAGAGCCTGCCCACCTACAAGGACCTGGACTTCATGCAGGACATGCCTGAGGGGCTGCTGCTCGACACAGACACCTTCGGCGCCCTGGTCAAGACACTGCAGCGCGACTGCCTGGTGAGGTCCGCGGCCGCCCCCCACCCCACCGCCCGTCTGCCCCTGCTGGGTTCCGTCCCTGTGGGGCTCCCAGACCAGGGCTCCTGAGCTGGCCACATGGGCTCTTTGGGCCTCAGTTTCCTCGCCTGTCCAATGGGACAAGCCTCTGTCCGCCCTGTGGTGACCATGAGCGTCTATTCCCAGCAGTCACTGGGTTTGAGTTCCTCTTAGAAGCAGACATGGACCAGGCACAATGGTGTCCACCTGTCATCCCAGCACTCTCATAGGCTGAGGCAGGAGGATCTCAAGTTCAAGCCTAGCCTGGGCAACTTAAAAACTTAATCAGACCCTGTTTCCAAAAGAAAAAGAGCTGTCTGTCAAGCACCAGGGCCTGAGTTTGATCGCTGGTACTGAAAAAGGGCAGGGTGTTGGGGATAGAGCTCAGCGCAAAGGCCCTGAGTTCAGTTCCAAGCGCCACACTCTTGGGCTGATGTCCCAGCCTGGCCACCCCCTGAGCACGGTCCTCTGTTCTGTCGGGCGGTGACAGGTGCCCCCGTCACGGGACAAGGTCACGCTGACGCAGCGTGCGACAACGCCTGCTGTGGACCAGATGGCCAACCACATGTCTCCTGACCACTTCCTCGGCCCCACCAGGTGCTGGAGAGCTTCAAGATCATGGACTACAGCCTGCTGCTCGGCGTCCACAACATCGACCAGCAGGAGAGGGAGCGGCAGGCCGAGGGCGCCCAGAGCACAGCAGATGAGAAGCGGCCCGTGGGCCAGAAGGCGCTGTACTCCACCGCCATGGAGTCCATCCAGGGTGGCGCTGTGCGGGGCGAGGCCATAGACACGGACGACACGTAGGTGGGGCCGGGCGTAGATGGGCGGGGAGCCGGGGACCGTGCCCACCGAGCAGAGCCCCACGACCCCTCTGCACCCTTCTTCCTCATTTGTGACACAAGGAGGGGCTGTGGCTCCACCCCTCGGGGCCGTCGTGCAGGGGATGCCGGTGCGTGCACCCGGGAATGGTGGCGTTCGGGGTCAGGCATTGTGTAGATTGAGGCCAGGGCCGTCCGTGTGGAGGAGTTGCCTCCTGCACCCTGGGCAGCCAGACGCCCCCACAGATAGCCATGAAGACATCGCGTGGTGACAAGTGGGAAGGTGGCCAGGACCAGGGACAAGGCAGACCTTTTACAGGCAGGAGAGATCGGCAGATCTGTGTCCCCAAGATCTGTGTGTCCCAGGCCCGTGCACACTGGGCTGGGCACCCTCCGTGGGGTGTCCTGGGCACTGTAAGTGCAAAGCAAGCATCCCAGCCTGCACCCGCTCCACAGGAGCTCCCCAGGGCGGCAGCCCCCGTGTCCCCAGGCATCGGCCAGGTTGTTCTGGGAGGGGTAAGACTGATGAGTGTCCGGTGACGGTGTCCGGGCTGTCCCCTTGTGATCGCTGCTCTGATCAGCCCTGGAAGTGGCCTCCAGTCAGGTCCTGGAAGGGATGGAGGTTCATCCCTGCATTTCCAGCCGAGGGAACAGGCTCTGAGGTGGGAAGCAGATTGGCGTGCACAGCTAGCTGGGGACAGGCCCCGAACAGACCCTGCAGCTCCCAGAGGGTAGAGGAGGCACCATTCTGGGCCCCAACCAGGGCAGGGGGTAGCGAGTGCTTGGCGCAGCCATCCGCCTCAGACTGCCTTGGCGTTTGTAGGGTCTGTGTGGGGGCCCAGCAGGCGGCAGGGACCTCAGCGTGCCTGGTGTGGTGGTGGTGTTTGTGGGTGCGCTGCTGCCTGGCTCGGAGGTCTGGAGTTAGGGTGGCTTTGGGACAGCTGCTGCCTTGCGTGACCGCACTAACTACACTGGGCTGGGAGGGCGTGGACATGGGGCCCAGTGGTGTGATTACTTACTTATTTTTTGGTACTGGGGATCAAACTTGGGACTCTGTGCTTGCGAGGCAGGCGGCAGAACCGCTGAGCTAAATCCTCGGCCTCCAGTGATGTGATTAATGCCGGGCCTGAGCCCAAGTCCTGGCAGGGCCCTCCTGGGAGTGCAGGGCATGTGTACACGTGTGCGTGGTGTATGTTCATGTGTGTATTGTGTGATGTACTTGTGCGTGGGTGTCCGTGAGTACATGTCTGTGTGCCTGCGTGTGGGTGTGTGTGCACGTATCGGTATGCGTACAGCTGTGTTGTGTGCTTAAACGTGCTCGTGGGCGGGTGTGCGTGTGGATGTGTGTGTTTGCACGTGGGTATGTGCGGCTGCGTGCGTGCCTGTATGAGCAGGCGTCTTGCCAGTCTGACGTGACGTTAGCAGTTAATCACCTCCTAGCACACACTCGGGGCCTCGGCAGGGACCCCAGCCGCATCCAGCCTGCGGTGCAGGGCATGAGTGCAGCTCAGGATCGGGCCGGGATGGCGGGTCTCTGGTGGGGACTCGCAGCGCCGTCACCTTGTGGCGAAGTGGCCTCTCGGGCCCGCCACGCTGATCCCCACGGCCTCTCTCCACAGGATGGGTGGTATCCCGGCCGTGAACGGGCGTGGGGAGCGGCTGCTGCTGCACATCGGCATCATCGACATCCTGCAGTCCTACAGGTGTGTCTCTGCTCCCGCCCTACCCGAGCCATCCACACTGCCCGGGGAAGTCACACAGCCTCGGCTGCTGACCGTCAGACCCTTCTCTCTGCAGGTTCATCAAGAAGCTCGAGCACACCTGGAAAGCCCTGGTCCACGACGGGGTGAGTGTCCTCCCGTCCTCCCTCTCTCCGCCCTCAGTCCACACGTGCACATCTGGCTCCTGGTCTCGGGCTGAGGTGCCAGGGGAGGCATCACACCTCCCTAGGCACTGACGGGCCAGTAGGCACAGCTTGTCACCAGTCAGGCCACCGTGTCAGGGGCTGTGTCGGGAGGATGCCTCAGGACAGCCCGAGCTGAAACACCGTCCCAGGAATGCTTGCTGTGCGCTGTGATGTTCTGGCTGGCCCTGCAGGGGCTCCTCGAGTCCCCACAATGGTCTTGTCTGGCGCGGTGGCTCTTTGCCCCCCAGCCCCCACTTCAGACTGATTCATACCAAAGTGCTAAGGATTGCTTATGTGGCCGCAGTCTGTAGAATCCAAGATCCAACAAAGAGGACCCTGCCCTCAGAAGGGTCTAGGCAGAAGCTTCCAGAATACACACTAAGAAGGTCAAGATGGATCCCAGCACTTTGGGAGGCTGAGGCAGAGGGATCACAGGTTCAAGGCCCACCCGGGCAACTTACAAGATCTGTCTCAAAAATTAAAAGGGCACTGGAGATGTAGCTCAGGGGTGTAGCCCCCTGCTCACTCTCCAGTATCACCACACCAAAAAAGCAGCAGCTGGCAGACGTTTGGAGGCGCTGTAGAGTCTGGACCCCACTGCCAGTAGCAGATCAAGCCATTCGGTCCTGGTGCTGCTCCACACCCTGGGGCTGTCTTCATCTGTAGGTGTAAGGCGGCCAGAAGGGGCACAGGAACTGGGGTAGGGCCCTCGCCCTCTGAGGGTGGGAAGCTCATGCAGGGCCTCCTCTTCCAGCCCCAAAGATCAAGTGGTCCCAGCCTGAGAAGCCAGCTTTACATACTGGGAAACAGCTAAGTCTGTGCTTGGAAAGTCCAACCCGCCTCAAGCACAGAATGCCCGGCACTCTTCCTTTTGTAGACCTACTATTCGTTGTGCTCTAGGCGTGGCCCCGTTGTCCCAGTGGCACCATGGAACACCTGCCAGACTTCTCCTGTCCCTGCTCAGCTCTGCCCTTGGGCACCAGAGCAACTGGAGACCAAATGTACAGGAAGGGGGAATGCCCGTGTGCCAATAAAACTTTATTTACAAAGCTGGTTTTAGGGGCCGGACTTTGCTGACCTCTGATTTAAGATAATATTGTAGGTTTTACGAATACTTGCTAATTCATAGGGTTTAAAAAGTTAAAATGCAGCTGGGCATAGTGGTACATGCCTATAGTCCCAGCACTCTGGGAGGCTGAGGCAGGAGGATCACAATTGCCCAGATAGGGCAGCTCAGCGACTTAGTGAGATCTTGTTTCAAAATTAAAAATAAAAAGGTCCAGGGGTGGAGCTCAGTGCAAAGCATTGGGTTCAATCCCAGTACTAAATAAATAAATAAAATGCTCCAAAGTTTATAGTGAAAAGATCCCCCAAGCTTCCAACACAGTCTGCCAGTGGCCACTTCACAGTCCCCGGCAACTAACAGTCTCCTGTCCCACCGCTTCTCCTGCAGGACACGGTCTCCGTGCACCGCCCCAGCTTCTACGCTGAGCGCTTTTTCAAATTCATGAGCAACACGGTCTTTCGGAAGAACTCCTGT